ATAGCTTTTGAGACTGAAAATACAGGACTACAAACTTGTTACTATTTCACTGAAAAAAAAAAAAAAATGAAGTTACTTGCTTTATTTGTTTGTTTTAAGTTCTGGAAGCTACTGAGTGCTGAGTAGTGGCCAGAGAGATTAAAGGTCAATAACATTTATCAAACAGAAACTAGTGTACCCAGGCCAGAAATTATCTTACCAGCTAATGCCCAACAAGAAGTAAGGTTTTTTAGAAAAAATCTCCAGATGAATGAAACATAAATGAAAGTGGCTGCTATTCAAATCTTAGGTTTCCTTACAGTGGTGTGATAGCCAGAACATTAAATGTTCTGTTAAGGCTGGAGCAAGATATAAAGTTTCCTTGAACTTACATGCTATAACTGCCTTCTAAGCTCTCCCTTGATTTTCTTACAGCCTTTCAGAAGAGTCAGAAAAATGCTTAAGCAGAATATAAGGATATGGAACCAAAGGTGCCAGGCCCAATAATGACTAGGTGTCAGTTGCTTGATGCATGTGCTTGCATAGTGTTCTAAGAAGAGTTTTAAGACGTTTCCATTCTACCTAAACTGTTCTAGTCCTTGCTAGAGATTGCAATTTAAGCACTCCTCCTTAAATGAAAGCACTGTATCTAGGTGCAGATGGCAACAGTTACAGGCCCTAACCAGATGCTGCAGTCTCTAATTTGATTGAAAGGGTATAATTAGACAGCAGAAACACTTCAATGAGAGAGTAATGCACAGAGGAAAGGACAGAAACCACTTAACTGATGCCAAGATACCCCAGCAGTAACAGAGGCAGGGGCCCACGGATGGAAGGGGCAGAACACCAAATTACCTTCTTCAGATGAGAACATTTTTGTTTCCCTATGGATACGAATAGGGATTCTATTATCATAGGTTGCCACAGTTCTTCATGTGGGAACACTGATTAAAACCAGAAGAAGCTTCAGGAGATCAAAGAGACAAATATGGCTTCTGTGGTCATTATTAAAAATATTTTTAGCAGTGCAATGGTTTTCTTTGAAGATGCATTTTTATCGATTGAACCAAAAGTTCATTTGCATACTGTCATATGATTGGACAGGAAAAAAAAAAAATCTCATTCCATATTATGTTATGATGCAAAATAAATGCTTTGGGGAAGTATAAGGCTGTTTTAGACCTACCCAAGTGAAAAATTAGTGTAGTACTTTTACATTTCAACACTTTACTATTCCAATTAATACTAATATAACAAAAGCCCTTATCAAAACTATCAGGCTTGGGTCCTTACAATGTAACAGTAAATAACCCCACAATACAACAGTTGATACAAACTAAAGAAAAAAACATCAGTAAAGAATGATCTTTGTTTAAAATTGCAATTTTCAAAACTGCTAGAAAATAACTCCCCATTTGATAAATCAGCCAGTTAAATTCTGATGCATGAGAGCATATGGTTAGCTGATCATTTCTCCTTTGCAATGTAGTGGCACTCTGCATATAGTTTAAAAAAAATCATCTCTCTCTCATTCTACATATCTACACAGACACACAAACATAATTTTTTTAAGTCCTCAAATGCAATCATTTTTGCTGGCCATAACTAGAGTCTTATTTAGTGTTGGTCCAAACCAGAGAGTAGCCACGGTGAATAGTCACCTAACATTCGATCAAATCTTGACTTAAGCATCTGTCTGTCCTGGAAGAATGTACATTCCTGGGAATGTACAGACATGTGGAGTTCCGTACTTGTGTTCCCTGGCAGTGCGTGAGATGTTATAAATGTGAACTTGCTATTCTTGTGAAATTAGATTACTAACCTTCAACCTAATCACTTTTTGATCACATTTCCTTTTTTGCTTTTAAACAACCAAAAAAAAAAAAAATAGGTAAATGCTACCTGACCCTTTCTGGAATAAGTTGGAACCAGGCAAATTAGGATATGAGCATGAGAGTCAATAACCATTATTTGTAGTGCTTAAAATTACGTATTTTGTACCTTTTTTGGTTTTATTCATACAACACAAACATGCTATATTAGCCACAGCTTTGCAGCTGCTGGCTGGTCCTCAGCTGCAAGATGCAAACACACTTGCTTGTCTTGTGATTCTTTATCACTGGAAGTAAGAATGCATGATGTGGTCCCATAAGAATTTCTGTTCCTTAATACACCCATTTGTTTTCTTTCTTTATGAAGTTTTAAAACTGTTGTTCCATTGTCAAGCGTGGCAGACCGAATCCCTTTGGAAATTTTATCAGGATGGGCCATAGCCACTGTGTGGATGGAGGGAGTGGTCAATTGCGCAACCATTATGGTGAGATAGCACAAAGAATGCAAATTTTGCAGCTGGCAGCATGTAATCCCTGCCTCCCTCCCACTTCTTTGGCTCCATCCTCCTGCCTAAATCCATTCACATAACTCTGGATTTTTAGTTATGCTCTATGCATGTATAAGCATGATATGCTGAGGTGTCTGACTATTTCGTTTTTCTGTCTGGTTAGAAATACTTTTCCGAGTATTTCCATGAGGATTGCTTAAGGCATATCAAGTAGAACTGCTTCTCTGAATCTGCAAGAGATAGGCAGAAAAAGTTGACAATAGATACAAGGTTTGTGTGAGAAGGCTGAAACAGCAGCTCAAATGAAAGACTCAGCTTGGGAAGAAAACCAAGGACATGGTGACTCAGTGTTGCTATATGGAAAAAAAAAAAAAAACCAAACAGAGAAGAGAAAAAGAGACTGATAATCATATCCATTTCTGATGGGGAAATTAAATGAACACTATAAATAAAGAAATCAGAAGTGTGAACTTACTGCACTGAGTATATAAAATAACATTTGTTCACTGAAACTAATATTTGCCGAAGGCATTTCCATCTCTTTGGCCTTGTAATACAAAACTCACCAAATTTAGACAGTCCTTTAATGTTAAGCAATCTATTCACCCATCTCTTATTTCTGATTCACCTGAGAAGTGTGATATGACTGAAGTTTGAATGCTGCAAATGTCAGAGTTTGGATTAATAGAAACTGTTAGACACCACACAGCAAAGCAGAAGCATTCTGTGAAAAGTAGCACAGTACTATGTACAAAAATGATTGTTAACTCACTCTAATTTCCGACAATTTGAGTCAGTTTTTGTAAGGCAATTCCATAAATTAGTTTCTGTCCTATCTTAGCAAATGATGGTGACGCAGTCTGTATTTTGACTGCATTTTACAATAAACTTATTAAGACACGCAACTGATAAAAAAGGAATAGGCATTAAAAACATGCCATATGACAAACTGACTTACAAAAGAAATGTTAATGTTTGTCATTTCATAATTCTGCTAGCTTCAAGTGCAACCTGACCCAGCCAATCCCATTTCGGTACTGTGGAATTAAGGGTCAAAAAGATTCTGAGGTATGGTTTGTGCAGGGGAGCAACTCTGTAGATTTTGTATATGCCATACAAATTATAAGTCCCTGCTGAAGTGTAGATTTGCACTGTTTCTAGGTTCTTTAGCAGAAGCCGCATAGGTGGCAGTGCTTTCCAGATCCATTCTCCTTTGCTATCCCTTCACTCAGAGATATTGCATGTTCTTTCCCGCTCCCACTGCCCCAGCTGCTTGTGCTCAGGCATCTCTGTCCCTTTTACTGGCTGCCAGTGCATGCGGCTGGAAGTTGGCTAGAGGATGAAAGTTCAGGTCCATGAACAGGTAGAATCCTCTTGATAGCCTATGAACCAAACATTCACACTGGGATATATCCTCCCTCTACCTGCTGTCATGTAACCTGCTGTGAGGGCCATGGTCACATGCAGGGTGTTCTGTCCACAGTTCTGCTCAGAAACCTTACAAGAAAACATTCTTCAACTTAAACGAAGGAAGGCATACCTGCTGTGTGCACCAAACATGTCCTAATGGTACTCGAAACAGACTGTTAGGTAATGGTCTAGATATGTCCCTGTCTAGCTAGCTCTCTACACACTTATCTGAAAATACTCTCGCGTTTTACTCACTTCAGGCAACCTCTGAGAAGTTGTAAAGTTTACCTTCTAAGTTATCTTTCTGGTAAAAGGCTTCTTTTTTGCCAAGAAAGTCTATGTAAGTATTTTCCAAATCTAATTAAGTGCATCTACAAAAACTTGATGTTCATGGCAAAACGAAGTAGAGCAAATTCTACATTATAAAGAATAACAACGATTAGAACATGCAGAATGTATCCAGGAGGACCATGCATCTGACGGCTGTGACACTGTGATCATCTGCAACAGCCACTTCAGATCTCATGAAGCAGGGCCAACGTTTACCAAAGGAAATTTGAAATCATCAGTAACAACTGAGGACAAAAGGATGCAGAGACATTTTAAGTGAAAAAAAAAAAAATCACAGTAGCAGGTAGTGAAGATTCCTTGGCTGAACGAGAACCTGAATGGTCAGAGGACTCCATGCTTGACAGGGAGCTGGGGCAGCATGCTGCAGACAGGAGAAATAGCCACCCTCCAAGCTCTGGCTCTGCAGCCCCGATTCTGTCCTGCTGCCACTGGTTATTTCATTTTCCAGTGAGTAAGCATACCCACACCCGACACTTCCTCTCCCTGCAGATGCCTCTGTTCGGCATTTAGCTACCAAACCACATATAGAGAGAAACGCGCTGCTCCTCTTCCTCTTACCTCCCGCTTCCATACAGTTTGCCCAGCTCCCAGCTCAGCGGCCACAGGGAGATCCTCCAACACCCACCCGCTGCCAACCGCACACGAAAATACCCCCTTGAACGTTGAGCACGAGCAGCTCCGCGCCGCGCAGCGACCTGGCGGGCAGGAAGGGACGGTCGTCGCGACCTCGAAGAGGTGCTGCCCGGGCGGCAGAGCCCTTCCGCGGGCGGCTGCGCGCCAACTGCAACTCTGCAGCGTCCGGGGCAGGCTGCCCGGTTCCCTCGCCGCGGAGGTCGGGGAGAAGCCCCACACAAGCGCGCGCCCCCCCCCCCCCCAAACCCCCCTTTCCCCTCCCGGCTCCCCGCGACGCGTCACTCACCGGAGAGAACGGGCTCGCGGCAGCAGCTCAGCGCCAGCCCCGAGAAGGCCAGGACGGCGGCGAGGGCGGGGGTCTCCATGGGCAGCGGCCGCCGGGCCGCACCGCACCGCGCCCGCAGGCGGCAGCCCCAGCGCTCCGGGGGCAGGAGGTGGTCGCGGACAGCCGGGAAGAAGAGCGCAAAGTGCGGGGAAGCGGAGGCCCTACTGCATGTGTCCTGTAACTGCGCCCCGGCGAGGTGCCGAGTGGCAGATGAGGGATCCTATTACCAGCCATGTGACAGGAAAGGATAGAGACCAACATCCCAACCTGCTGCAGCGCGGGGCCGCTGCTTTTTACGTTTGACACCGACAGGTTTGGGCTGCCGGTGCTCGCTCCCAGGCCAGCACGGGGGGCTTCGCGTAGCCCTTCTGGCAGGCAAGGCCGCCCGGCAGATCCCACCCCACACACACACACACACACACACACACACACACACACCCCAACTCCTCCGCCCCAGCAGCGCCCCACGCCTCGCTCTCGGCGCTCCCCTCGCACCCGGTGCCGCGACGTGGCCGCCGAAGAGGTGAGGGCAGCCCCGCGGCCTAGCCGCGGGCCCTGCCTGCGGGCAGCCGCTATCGCCGCCCCGCGCTCGCCCTCCGCCAGGCGGGGGGGGGGGGGGGGGGGGGGGGGGGGCTCGCCTGCGAGCAGCTGGGAGCGCGCAGGTGCAGCACGTCTCTCATCCCTTGAAGCTGGGGGGGGGGGGGGGGGGGGGGGGGGAAGGCGGGAAAAGAACGCTCAGGTTTCGCGCTGGTCCCGCGCGGCGCTGAGGGACGCTGCGCGCGAGCGGCTCGGCGGGCCGCGAGGTGCCAGGGCCTCGCGCCGCGATTTAAGGGGCGTCGTGCGAAAAGCGAAGAGGCCCCTCCACCCCCACGGAAACGACAGGGCAGCGCGAGCCCGTGCACCGAGAGCGAGCACCTGGGGCACCGCGCACCTGGCGCCAGCGGCGCGGGCTCGGCCCCACGCGGGGAGGAACCGGCGACCGGGCCGGCGCGCCCCGCGTGGACACGGCGGCACGGGCGCAGGCACCCGGCACGGGGGTCGCACGTGGGTACGGTACGCACGGGCAGGGGCGGGGGGGGGGCAGACGCGTGGGGGCACACGTGGAGTCGCAGGGCGCTCGCGGGCACGTGGGCGCACGCGAGCGCGCGCACACCCACAGTGAGGCAAGCGTGGGAAGGGACTAACACAGAAACACGCAGCAGCCGACAGACCGGGGAATCGAAGGAAAAAGGTCGGTGTTCTCTCTGAGAACGGTGCACGCACACGCAGAAAGATGATGGAGCTGCTTTTTTTTTTTTTTTTCTTCCCAACATGCAGACAGCAAAGCACCCAAAAAAAAAAAAAAAAAAAGAGTCAACGATATAAAGCTATTGCCCAAACTTCTATAAAGGCTCATTAGCTGACCTGTGAGACGGTTTTAGCAACGGCAGTGCTTCTTTGCTAAAAAACAACGAACAGAATGAAATCCAACAACAGGAAAAAACATACAGAAAGCTACACTTGCTTTGTCAGGAACGGGAGGAACGCAGACTTTTCTAACCTTGTAGCGCCGTGGCACTATTGCTATGTAACGGGATGGCACCTTCAAACATCTAAAACAGAGACAGCAATTTTGCTACTCTGAATGAGGAAGCAGCAAAATACAGTTTGTAGGCTTTAACTGTTCTACTGGTGCGCGCTATGGCACCTGTCACTTTTAGCATGCAAAGACCTCCCATCATATATAGTGTAAGGTTAATTTTTAGTAGGATTTAGGTGCTTAAATTTCTTTCGGCCTTTGTGGCATAAAAAACAGAAAAAGGATTACATACATGCATACATACATACATACTAGCATGGCTTTATATGTATATTTTAATAGCACAGCATAATAATGTGCCACATTCTTATTTCTTTGAGCTGAATTCCTAGTGAACGTAGAATTTTTAAGCTGATGAAATATTGAAAAACAATAGCAGTGTTCTATTAAATTACTGTTATACTTTTTTTTTTTTTTTTAAGGGTAAATGCAGAAATACCTAATTCTTCCTCACACATACAATCTATAGGTATGTTCAGTTATTGGGCTCACAAATTCTGCTAAAGTTCCTGATCCTGAGCTTTGATTGCACAAGAGCACTTCAAGCACACATGATTTTGTTGCCACTGGATATATATGTGTGTGTGTGTGTGTGTGTGTATGTATATGTGTGTGTATAAACTAGGGAATTTGAGATCACTGTGGTGGGAGAGTACCAAGACCTACCAGAAGGAACAGCTTGTGGTGGTGCTGGTGGGTGTTTCTTTTTACCACTGCTTTGTTTATACTGGGTGGAGCCAAATAATTCAGATTTATAGAAATATACTGTGTTCTCAGATTAACATACAAATTTTTCAGGACTGGAGGTCTAATTCATTCCATATATTCCCTTCGTCAGGCTAAGCTACCGACATCAAGTGCTGCTGGCGTTCCTTCACAAGTCATTGTGTGTGCACGCAGCACTTCCTTGTGGTACATGCTGTCTAATAGCGTATGAGACATCACTATGTTGTGATTTAATGACCCACAAATTTCTCCTCCCCAAGGACTGAGACCCCACTGTGTTACCCATTCACCCAATTTCGATTCCATTTTATCTGGCATTCTGTTCCCTAAGGACACTGGAACAGAGAAGGCTTACCATTTTTTAACACTGTATTGATAATGAAGTTCACAAAATCAACCTTATCTGTCTCCAGAAGGCCAGTTTAGTCTTCCAGCACTTCTAGGCAAAATCACCTTCATTCATTCTGCTGCCACTTTCTCCACTAATCAGTTGCCCACACAGTTGATATGTGTGCATATATAAGTTGCACATTTTGGGTTTTTTTTAAAACCGTAGCACACTGACAAGAGGTAGTAAATTTCTTACCAATGATCATTCCCCGGTCTTCTTTCAGAGTTCTTTTTTTTTTACAAGACTTTTTATTTCTGTTGTACACAATTGTTTGTATTTGAACCTACTGTATTCAAGATCACTTGTTCTCATTTTGTAATTTCCTGCTTGTGGTTAGTGGCCTCTGTTTACAAACAACAACAGTGGCAACAGCAACAGCAGGTAATAAATAATTAATAATTTTATACTTCATAATACATGGTCTGAGGCATTTCTTTCAATTCTTCTTCTTCCCTTTGTAATGTGAATTCTGTACTGTTTCACTCATTTGGTTTTCCTGTGCACCTGGCACATAGTTTGTCCTTGCTTTTTGAAACCACCATGATTTTACAGTAGTTTATGAATTAAAGACCTTAGAAAACCAGATCAAACAACCTGCAAAAGTTAGTAACTTTTTCACTATCAAAAAGAGTTGCACAGTACAGAACTGGCTTCACAAACCCTTTGGAGTGTAGGCAAGAGCAAACAGTGATTTTTTTTTTTTTTTTTTTTTTGGTAGAAGAATTCTGTACAAGGTAGTAGTTCAAAGATCCCTTTTTAATGAAGATAATGAAACACACTGTAATACATCTAAATATTAAAAAAGAGAGAGTATTCATGTTGCCATTATTCAAGGAAAACACTGCAAGTTTTGCAAAACATTTCCCGTGCAGATAACGGATTTCTTGTTTTGAAGGTGGACGCTTAATTGGACAGTTGACTAAAGATGGATTTTTTAAAAATCGTTATGAATTAACCTGGAAGGAAAGGTTTCATTTTCTGCATATTTCCCCTCCCTTCCCCCCCAACTGTATCCTTTCAAAATTAGGTCAGAACTGAAACAAAAATGCCACTTTGAGTCTGTGTTCAGAGACGTACCAAAATGTAAGAATGCAGGGTTTAAATATCTTCGATATCTCTCCCTCAACCCAACAATCTGCAAATTCAGCCCGACTTGCCAGTAGTCCATCTGACTGTGCATCCACTTTCACATCTATCTAATTCAGCCTTACATGGCCCCAAAGAAGGCAAATGTTTCTCTGATAATGGCTAGCGTAGTAAGCTAGGATTCTTTTAATTTTACCAGCTTTCAAGTAAGAGAAGAAAAGTGCAGAGAAATCATGAACTCTTGATTTTGTCAGAACTCTGGTTCTGCTGGCAGAGACGTGACTGTTAGAAGAAACTAATGCCCATAACTTTGAGACTGCTACTTTCAGAAGCATTATCCTTTGCTCACGATAGACAGTAGGCTGAGCCTGCCATGATATAATCCCAGAAAGTTGGTTAGCATTTCCCACATAATTCAACGCTCATTATATTGAAAGAAGAAATCGAATTATAGCATACTATATAAAACCATTGTTTGTGCTTGGAAAGTCTATCTTTGTTGCTGTAGATGATGTAATCCTCTGCTACGCCTTTTCCATATTTCATTAAAAACTCCTCTGTAATTTCATTGCTTCTTGTTCAGGTACAGCTGGAACCTCTGAAACAAGTTTCTGGTTGCCTTTGTGTCTTTGGAAGAAAATACAAAGAAAAAGCTTTTAAAAACCCCACAAAGGCTAGAGATGGCTGTTAAAGTAGTTACCATAATATCGTTGATCAAGGTGAGAAGAATATTGGGTTAGGTGGAATAGTAATGTCGCGCCAGTTTTTAAAGTACCAGTTCTGTGTAATTCCAGTGCATACCTCCCCCAAGGAGCAATATCCCTCCCCTGCCATACATTACTGAAGATTCAAAATATTCAAATTACCAAAAGTAGTCACTGAAGAATATGTAGCACTCCTTCAATTTGAGCAACATTTGATGAAATTAGAGAACACTGATGGTTTGTTGATATCCCTGTGCAACACTAAATCTGTTTTCTAGTATGATGGTCTAAATTATATGAGCAAAAGGAGAAACTGGGCAAATGTCACTGGTTTGAAAACACCGATAATGAAGGGTCTGGAAAGAAGGTTGGTTTCTGAGTACAAAAAGAGGAAAGAAGTCTGAGTGAGCAGGGAACTTGTGATTCAGCGGTAAGTTACAGACCTCATATTGGCTTTTTTTTTTTTTTTTTTTTTGGCTAAGAGACACATATCACCAAAATATTAATAGATACATTTGTGACTACCTAGGAACCCTCACAAGGAAAGGGAAAAGCATAAATCAATTTACTGAGCACCTTGGTATTTTTATTTCTTGGAATTTTTATTCTAAATACTGTGATTCTATCCACTTCTCACCCCACTCCCCTCAGTCTCTGCTCATAGAATCATGTCATTGTCTGAGAAACTTATATTTCACTTTTAGGCTAGAAAGGTGGCTGCAGAAGGCTTGAAAATATAGACCCTACTTTTTTTTTTTTTCTGCTTGTTTGTTAAAGGAAAAAATCTAAAAGCATATAGCATTCAATGATTAAGATTTTTGTATATTTCTACTGGCCTTGCTGCTTTTTAAGATACTTCACTCTATCTTACTATGTAAGTATGGTCCTAGCTGCGAACACTGAGAGCAGCTCCTTTCTGGATGATTGTCAGAATTGGGTGCAGAGGCAGAAGGTTTCAAAGACCTACAGTATGTAGGACTGCTACTTTCCCTTCTTATGTAAAATACATGACTTGTCATAGATTTATATTTACCCTGAGATCCAGAAAAGCATACAGTAGATGACAGAATTTCACAAATCACTAGTTGTCTAATAAGCCTTCCCTAGTTAAAATCGTATCTGTTGCAAATTTTTACTGCTACACAAAGGACTGCATCCTCTATTACTATCCAAATATACAGCCCTGCTGAGTGCTATGGACTTTATTAAACTCTCTCAGAATTTTTTTCATAAATGATAAGCTTTTGGCAGCATATGAAAATTACCTACAGATTTGCAAAATATACAAGAATCTAGAAGGGCTGATGGCTTCGCTCTATTTTTTTTAATTAGTTTTTGATGTAAAATGATGAGTTTAGCAGTTCTGAAAGCTGCTCCAAAACGTGAGAAGTCTGTAAAATAGTGTTTTAAACCAATCCGGTTTATTCATGGAAATTTGGTGTGTCTAAAATTTGACAGATATAGGAGGTGTCCTTTGTCTATGCTTTTCTATGTATGCAAAAACGATTAATTGCTGCAGTTATCTTCCCTGTGTTGAGTATCCTTTTTTTTTTTGTTTTGTACAGGGTAGGAAGAAAAAGTGGTTTGGGTATGAATCTTCTCTGTAAAGTGTAGAAAACAGTGCTTCTGTGATTTAAAGGGAAGGGGCAAAATTTAGCAGTGTCTCTGGCCCTTTGATGGACACAGTTAATTAATGAATGAGCTCAGAATCAATGGGCTGTATTTTCAGTGATGGATGTGGCTGTCATACTGGGTTCTGTTTCAAGAGTATCTGCAAGGATGAACCTGTTAGAAAGGCACAGAGCCAAAAATATTTTAAGTGTCCTGTTAGCACTAGCTAACAGAATGAGTTATATACAGAATATATGAAATCATAACAAACCTTTTAAAACAAAGGACTAAAACGTCAAAGATGTAATTTACTAGTCACATAACATTTAGTAGAGATTTCTTTTAAAAATGTAACAGTTTTTATAGCGAGTTTATTTCTGTGTGGTAGAAGGGTTCCAAGAATGGGTAGCAAATGGATATATCTTTAAAATTCTATTCACCCCTTTGGCACAAGAGGCATGTAAGCATTCCCTAGGCAAATTCATGCATGCTTAAAAGTGGGAATATGTTCAAAGTTATGTGGAAAGTTACAGTATCATGCAATGCATTCCTTAGATGATACATCAAATTTACCTATAGGTATCCTGAGCACACCTGTTCTGAAACGGAACATTTTAAATCAGGAAGCCTTATTAATCAATCCATCAATCAATCACATGTTTGTGTGATCTGATAACATAGTTCCAGCTTTGCTTCATAGTCTTCCAGCAGGCTACAATGACTATACAGACTTGACGTTTTTCACAAAAGACAGTAGCAGGAAAATATCTTGTTTGATTTTTTTGTCATTGAGAAAAATTATTAGAAAGGTCATAATACATGCTATTCTTTTGCAGGTTCATTTGTGGTTTCAGTTCAGTTGAGTCTTACCTCTCCTTTCTACATAAGAAAGTCAGACGTGCCAGGACTGCAAGGCCGACTATTCCAAATACACAGCCAAGAAGAATTACTTGTTTGATATCTGAAAAACAGAGAGTAATCACAACAAAACAGGGAGATATGTTTGAACATAGTCACACGTGACAATTTTAAAAATTGTGTATATTGTGTTAATTTTACTGTTCTTTGTATTAGTGGAACACACTGGTAAAGAGTAGGAACTTGCATAATTCCTACATTTGTCAGTTAAGGCAGGTGGCTGCAAAAGCTGCTCTAACACAACGCCTAGTGGCTAATACGTAGTTAACATCATGAATGTATGATATTTATGTAGAACTGCTGATCCCAACAACTGACAATTTTTCAATCCTTTTTTTCATACGGTGTGATTGCTTTAAAAATTGCCCCTGTTTTGGCATTAAAGTGTTGAAACTGCCTCTGTTGCTTAATGCCCTATGTAGAAAGAGCAAAAGTGACTGTTCTGATGTATGGCGAACTACATCAGGCAGTATGAATATGCTAAGTGCCAATTTAATTCTGCGACTGCATAATAAGGACACATGAAGGATAGTAAGAGATCAGATATGAAACAAATTTTGAATAACAAATCTCGTGGTGTTTTCTTATTCCACTGAGGAGTTGCAAGTTACAAGTTGTCACTTTCTACTGACGTAGGACAGTGCTAGCGGGATGCTGTATGGCAGTGGTGAGCAACGGAAGCTAAAGATAGCCCTCAGGAAAAATTTCATGACACATAAGAGGGTTGATAAAAGTTTAGGAGATGCAAGCGTCTGGACTGAACTGTCTGGGAGAAACAATGCTTCCTGAATTTTGTGTCCTTTAAGGAAAATATATGCTTGAGTACCACCGCTGAAAAACTTCAGGTCCCAGTGTGAGCAGTCTTTGTCCCAGGCTCAGTGTCTGTGAGTCAAACAGCAGTGTAGTTCCCTGGCTCTGAGGCACTGTAGTGTTCTAAAGTCAAAATAGATTCAATACTCTCTCATTTTTTCTGCACATAGTGATAGCACTATATGCATGTATCAGGGAGCATGTAGCATAGTTAGGGATAGGCGAGCAGTGGTGCATCTGAGCTTTAATGCTTCTGGGCTGCATTTTTGACAGCCCTTCTTTCCATCCCTTTGTCATGCCTGCAGGAAGAACTGCCCAAATTACAGCCTAGCACCCAGTGATGGCAGAGTGATGTAACAGACACTTCTGTGATCCTAGAACAGATAATTTGGTTTCTAATTTGGTTTATGCTGAAGTGTAAGGAAAGAAGTGGGATACATAAACAGTTTCACAGGCATTGGTCCTTCATCCAGTAACTCTTGTACATGGCTCAAAAACTTCTGTTTGGCTTAGACGCCTTACAGGCAGGTACCCTGTCCCTGCCAAGTGATAAGAATCCACCATTGGCCTTGGTAGTTTGGTCCAGTGGTGATTTGCCTCTATTGTGAAATCTTTGTATTTAATTTACAATCTCAGGTTATATTTCTCTTTTTTAATATGTGTTGTAGCCAGTCTCCTGGAAACGATAGACAGACGACAACTCCATAACAAGAAGACCTAAAGTTTTTTGGCATCTTCAACTGAAAAAAAGCGCAGAAGACTAATGAGATTTCTGACAACTTGCCAAAAAGAACCGTATTTACACAGAGCCTGAGCATGGAAAATGAAACATAAAAGTGAGAAGAGGAAGGGGGGAAAAAAAAAAAAAAGAAAAGAAAAAAACAAAAGACAGACAAAACAGGTTTGTACTTAAAAATGCCAAATAATTGTCTGTCACAAACAGACTATATGTGTGTGCATGTATATATATATGTATATATATTGCTAAGATTTGATAATTTTTAGCTGCATTTTACTTCTGATTTTACTTGAGTCTCCTCTTTGCTTTTGCTGGATGGTTTCTTTTTCTTTCTCTATGTCATACTCTGTGAAGGGAGGTTGCTGTGGTACTGGCAAGATTTGCAGTGGGATTGTAATTAGAAGCATAGCAAAATAATTATTAGCAGAGGATTTCCATGGAAACTTTAATTCAAGGAAGCAAACTCAAAAGCAACAATATGCAGGCCCAACAGCATCATTTGTATCTGAAATTTCAAATACAGAAACGGATTTTGTAAAACAACTGGCATTCAGTTTTGTTTCCGTCTCTCTTTCTATCCAGTTTTCATAGTCCTTATGCCTTTATTTTAACTGTTCTAGCTTTTGAAAAACAGAAGCATGTAGCAACTAAAAAACCTTGGTGATTTGCAGTACAGAGCTTCAATGTGATGTGCCACAAAACCGCAGCAAGTGTAATGGGCACAGCACCGTAAAGAAGTACCCCTGGAGGCTGAGAATGACAGAGGGCTGGACCCTGTGTTCTTGACCAGCAAGAAAGAAATCATTCAAAAATGTGTGTTTTAATACTTCATGATGGAAGTAAAAATGTGACCACTAATCACAGTGGCTAGGTCAGTGGTCACCCATTCAGGCGCCCAGAAATTGGGAAGTGCTGTCCATTAGTTTTGTCAGCATTTTCCTGGCACCAGGAAGGCCTTCTGTCACAGGACTTGATAAAATGGATGTTGGTGAAACAGCAGCATGCTGCTGTGTAAACAGGAAAACAGTGAAGAAAACTGACCTCAATAACAACAGATTTTGACAACATGAATATCTTTTCTGTACTTGTGCTGAATTCAGAATCAACACAAGGAAAACTGGCACTGGAATTCAACTGCATCTTAGATCAGAGAAAGAAAAGTATCTAGTGGAAAGCAAGTACCAGCTGTCCATGCTATAAAAATATTAGAGGTTTAGACATAACTGAGAGGAACTCAGACTGTTTTGCCTATCTCAGGAGAGACCTGGACCTATCAATAAAATAACCTTCTCAGACAGAGACTGATACCCAGCAACATATCTTATAATGCAGAAGGAGTAACAAGGCTAGATATGAATGCCATTATTATAGCACAGTAAAAAAACATGAAGGACTGTGTATGCAATTTGTATTTCATACTGTCCCAATCAATTGTCAGTATTGTCAGTATCCTGCTGCTACGGGCAGCATTGCCATACTCCAACTTCCCAAGGCTGATAAAAATTGTCATTTTTGGTTCACATTACAAATGAACTACAGCCCCAAATATCAAATAGTAAGGAAGGTCTTTGTTACAATCAGACCAATAAAATTCTTTCACACCTTGTTCTTTATCATCTTTCAGGAAACCCTGCGCTGTAAAACATTGTGGTTTTTGTTTGCTTATCCATAAAGATGCGGCACATCTCCATCATTCTGAATGCTGTTAATCTCTGCGTATCTTCCAACTCCTTCCCTCCAATCTCTTAGGGCTGGATTTTTGCCCTCCTTTCTCTAGTGTAAATGTCAGCATCCGGTTTGCTTGTTGAGACTGACTGGCTCCTATCCAGTATGTATGTGGTTGATGGCAGCAATGGAAAAATGTTCTTAGCTTTCAGCTTGGCAAAATGTTTTGCCACTGACTTTTTAAGACCTGGTCTTACTTTGTAAAGTTTTAATTCTTCTCAGACTTTTGACAGATGACCTATCATTACAGTGAACTATGAAGCATGCTAAATTATCTGCTAAACTTTTGAATCTCTCGTATTTTCAACCGTTAACTAAAGTACTCCATATGCTCTGGCCTATCATATTAAACAGAAATGTTTTTAAAGACCTCTAGTTTCACTCTTTCCAAAATAGCATCACTACTGAGATTGGCCCATGTGAACACAATTGGTTGCATATTGATTACTAGCAATGGCTGGTCCAAGAAAACATTCCATAAATGTTCACTCATCTATTTGAAATTAAGCAACATTTGCTGTTTTGTATGTGCAAATGTTCAATAATTCTTTTTTATGCTAAAGTGCACAATCTGCTGCTCAAACTCACTGTGGTTCATCCCACAAATATCACTAAACTTGCAGAACTGTGTTGGAAATGAACAGTTATTTGACGAGTACTTTCAGGAACAATTAACTGAGCATTAAAAGTGCTTCAATGTGCCAAGTGGCCTGGCATCACCCTGGTGCTTTGAAACATTGCCATCTTGAGGACATTTGGAGTGTATGTGGTGTACAAATAAAACAAAGTTGAAGCCGTTAGAAAATATTCAGCAGTTTCGTGAGAATTGTAGAGACAGCCTAACTGCTACCAAATCAACAATGCCAGGTTAATTGATAATCTAATAGCAGTGACACAAATTCATGTTATTTATAGTAAATACTATTGCATCATTCACAATAATTGTACAGCTATAGAATAATACATTATGTGTTAAGGTAACATAATCCTTTAGAACAAAAGAGTGGAAGCCTTCAACAAGCGTGGGCCGTGTCTGCTCTTGAATCAGAATCGCAGAACGGTTGAGGTGGGAAGGGAATCTCTGTTGGTCTTCTTGTCCAGCTCCCCCGTTCAAGCAGGGCCACCTAGAGTCAGTCATCCAGGACCATGTCCTGACGGCTTTTGAAATATCTTCAGAGAGGGAGACTCTACAACCTTTCTGTTCAACCTGTGCCAGTGCTTGACCACACTCACAGTAAAAAGGTGTTTCTTGATGTTCAGAGAGAACCTCCTGTGTTTCCTTTTGTGCCCACAGCCTCTGATCCTGTCCCTGGACACCACTAGAAAGACCCTGGCTTTGCATCCTCTGTCTGCTTTGCATCCTCCCTTCTGTCTGCTTCGCACCCTCCCTTCAGGTGTTTGTACACATTGATAAGACCCCTTCCCACGCCTTCTCTTCTCCAGGCTGAACAGCTCCCAGCTCTCTCAGCCTTTCCTCATAGGAGACACGCACCAGTCCCCTGATCATCTTTGCTCGTGGCCCTTCATTGGACTCTCTCCAGCGTGTGCACGTGTCTCTTGTGCTAAGGAACGCTGCGCTGGACACGGTGCTGTAGGTGTGGATCACCTCCCTCGGCCTGCTGGCGATACTTTGCACAATGCAGCCTGGCACACTGTGAACCTTCTTTGCTGCACGTGCCCGTAGCCCACTCATGTTCATCTAGGTGTCCACAGGGCCCCCACGTCCCTTTCTGCAAAGTTTCTCTTAAGGCACTCATTTTCTAATGTGTCACTTCATAACCCACCCCACAGATGGCTCAGGCTGGTTTGCCCCAGTTAGTTGCAAAGGAAGTTAAAACTGCATTAGTAATGACAGGATGAAGGATAACAATAAATGGCTGGGGGTTGTGCCATTATTTGTACTTGAAATATAGCTGAAATTATGTAGATACTAAAGGATTTCAATAATCTCTAGTTCTCTATGTGTATGCATGTATGCACAGAGTGTATATTTATAAAGCTGCTAAAAGAACAGTATGTTTACATAAGAAAATTACATTAAAATAATGCTGTAAATAAGAATTCTTTTTGTAGCCTTCGTATTTTTGTGTTACAGAATCATTTTTGGCTAAGTACTATGCTTTCCTGTTTTTCTAAGGCTGACTTTTAAATTTATTTTAGGTCGTCCACTCAAGAAGCATGCCTGTGTTGTTCCTTTCAGCCAAACCTAGAGAAAAGGAAGCAAGTAGCCCTAAACCCTTTGAAAAAGTAGATACATGAAACAAAGGAAAATAATATAAAAACAAACAAACAAACAAAAAACAACAAACCAACCAAACAAAAAAAAAAACATCAAAAAGCACCATAAACCACCAGTTATTTAGATTTGAATATTAGTCTTTCTGGAAACTCAGGGATCTCATGTCCAGTGTCTTCCCAAATAAGAGAAGTTGCTTTTGTCAAGAACCATCATCATATACTGAGATTACCTTGTTTGTGATAAGGATTTTTTAATGTCAATTTGTAACATTTAAAAGGAAACAGACCTGTTCTCAGGACGCAACTGGGTGTGTCTCCAGACCAGGCCCCTGTCACTTGGCAAATTCTTTCCTTTGACCCAGTAAGTTCATAGCCCTGATTGCAGATGAAGCTGATGGTTGCACCCAGCAGGTAGGTAGTTCCATTCTTTCTCCCGTTGGTTGGATGATCCAGCCAGCCACAAGAGATCACTAGTAAAAGAGACATATCTGGTTAAAGTATTTTGGATTTAGAATAGCAAATCTCCAACACAATGATTCAAATGGCATTTTAGTGAAAACTCATGGAAAGACAAAGTGTTTTAGGCTAATTGAAAGACAATACTTCCTGATTTTTTGAAAATGTTTTGGGTTTAAGTCAGAGGAAGACAGATGAAGGCATAGAAAATGAAATTAAGGGTTCTACACAGTGGTGTAGTAGTGAAAGAAATGGAAAGAGCTTTATTTTGTGTTTGTCTAAGTATCCTACCAGTGCAGAGTTTTTCTGGTACAAGGACAATTCCTCCTGATAAGAGTGTTTACAGGTGCATGAACTTTGCAGTTGAGCAAAGCCTCCTCAAACAGTGTTAACTATTGAGATACCCTGTAGAAAAAACTGTAGTGATGGATGCTTTGTGGAATGCTGTATCACCTGGCTCTAGGTTTTCTACCAGCAGCTTGTGATTCTGATGAGATAGTTTTGTGGAACTTCCCACTTGAAGGCTTCTCGTTGTCAGGACATCGAATCTGCAGAATGGGTCAGAGTCACAGAGCAAGACCATCACTTTCACCAGGGGATCAGCAGGGTCTTCGTAAGGAAAGAACACGGGCAGAAAGGAAGCGTTGTGCTTTTCCCCATAGAAGA